GGAACATTTGTGTTTAAGGGTTTATATGAACAGATGTGTGTGTGTGGGGGGTGTGCGTGTGTGTTAGTACTGAGGATGAAACCCAGGGCCTTGAACTTGCCTGCTACACCCCCAGCCCTTTTTTTAGTTGTAGACGGACCCAATACCTTTATTTATTTATTTTTAAGGGGATGCTGAGGCTCGAACCCAGGGCCTCATACATGTGGGGCAAGTGCTCTACCATTGAGCCACAACCTAAACCCTACCCCCAGCCTTTTTAAAATTTTATTTCTTGAGACAGGGCCTCACAACTATAATTCTCCTGTCCTGACCTCCAAAATAGGTGGGGTTACAGGTATGTGACACCACTCTGGCTAATAAGATATTTTTATTATCTTAAATACATATGTAAGAGTGGTACTGCTGGGTCTCAGAGCAGAAGCTCTGTTTAACTCTTCCAGGAACCGCCAGATTGTCTTCCAAGTCGGCACGCCATTTGACATTTCCCTCAGCAGTGCAGGAGGGCTCCAGGTCCCCTGAGTTCTCCTGAACACTGACTGTCTTTGATTCTAACCATGCTCTAGAGTATGAAGTGAAAACTCATTGTTTTGTGGCTTTGATTTGCATTTCATGACTAAAGATGCTGGGCATCTTTCCATGTGCTTATTAACCACTTGTATATCTTCTTTGGAGAAGTTTTTATTCAAACATTTTGTCAATTTTATCATTAGGTTATTTGTGTTTTTATTGTTGGATTGTGAGAATTCTTCATGTATAATGGAAATTAGACCTTTATTTTATGTGATGTTTGCAAATATTTTTTCCCATTCTGTGAGTTGACTTGCCCTCGTTTGGTATTCTTTGAAGCACATGTTTTCAATTTTGATGAAGTTCATTTATCTATTTTTTTTTTTGTCACTGGTTCTTTTTGTTATAAAAACAGTTGCTTACTCCAAAATTTATATCCCTGTTTTTTAAGATTTTATAGTCTTAACACTTTAAGTCTTTAATTTTGAATTAGTTTTTGTATATGGTCTGAAGTTGGAGTCTAACTTCCTGCTTTTGCATGCAGATATCTAAATTGTCCCAGCACCATTTGTGGAAAGATTATTCTTTTCCCATTAAGTGGTCTTGGCACATTTGCTGAAAAATCAACTGGTCGTCAGCATAAGGATTACTTCTAGACTCTCCACTCTATCCCATTGATCTGTGTTCATCCTTCTGCTAGTCCATACAGTGGTGATTGCTGTAGCTTTGTATAAGTTTTGAAATAGAGGAGTGTGAGTCCTTCTTTGTTCTTCTTTTTTAAGACTGTTTTTGACTATTTTGGGTCCCTTGCATTTTCTTATGAATTTTAGGATGAGCTTGTCAATTTCTTAAAAAAAAAAACTCAGCTGGGATTTTGATTGGAATCATTTCAAATTTGTAGATCAATTTGGAAGAAAAATGCCATCTTTATACTATCTGATCAATGAACACGCATGAATTTCTCTTTGTTTGGGTCTTCTTTAATGTCTTTCAATGGTATTTTGCAGTTTTCATAAACAGCCTTTCACTTTTTAGTTAAATTTATTCCTAAGTATTTTATTTTTTGATGCTATGGCACATGGAATTGTCATTTCATTTTCAGATGGTTCATTGTGGAGTGTATTTAAATACAATTGATTTTTATATAATGACCTTCTATACTGCACCCTTGATAACATGTTTATTATTTCTAATAGGCTCTTATTTTTTTTAAGTGAATTCCTTGGGATTTTCTATATACAAGACCATACCCTCTTCCTCGACAATCTACATGCCTCTTTTCTTGCCTAATTTTCCTGGCTAGAACCCCCACCATCCCCTTAAATTGAAGTGACAAGAGAGGACATATTTCTCTTGCTCCTAACCCACGGGGAAACCATGCCGTCTTTTACCATTAAATATGATGTTTGCTGTGGTGTTCATAGATGCCCTTTATCAAGTATAAGAAATCCCTTGCTCCTCCCAGTTTTGTGGAGTGGTTTTGTTTTGTTTGGGTACCAGGGATTGAACGCAGGGCGCTTAACCACTGAGCCACATCCCCAACCCTTTTTAAAAAAAAAAAAAATTATTTTGACCCAGGGTCTCGCTAAGTTGCTTAGGGACCTGCTAAGTTGCTGAAGGTGGCCTCAGTCTCCTGAGCCACTGGGATTAAAGGTGTGGCCCCCCACACCCAGCCTGAGGAGTCTTTTGATCATAAAAGCATGTTAGATTTTGTCAAATAGTTTGTCTATTCACAGAGATGACCCCTTGGCTTAAGTTAATTTTAATTAAATAAATTCAGACCACATTCTCTTTGTGAAGAAACGTGTTCAGTACATATAAGGCTGGTCTCCCCAGTTCTCTCTCAGTCACCCCAAGGTACCCAACCCTGTCACATGACTGTTTCCTTTCAGATATTTTCCTATGTGGATGTGCAACACTATGTTTTAATAAAAAAAATCCACAATACACACAAGATATTTCCTCTCCCTGGGATTCCTCTTGGTTGTGGCTGACACATCCGTGCCCACCTTTCCTTCAAAGCTGAGATCTGGTCCCTCTTTCCCTGGTGGCTTCCCAGACACCAGATAGCTTTCCTTTCTAGGGATGGTTAGATCTCTGCTACCCCTCGGATCTCTTTTTTTTTTTTTTTTGCTACGGGGGCTTGAACTCAGGGGCACTCGACCCCTGAGCCCCATCCCCAGTCCCTTTTTGTATTTTATTTAGAGACAGGGTCTCACTGAGCTGCTTAGGGCCTCACTGTTGCTGAGGCTGGCTTTGAACTTATGATCCTCCTGCCTCAGCCTCCCGAGCCACTGGGATGACAGGCGTGGGCCACTGTGCCAGGTCTGTCTTCTGTTATTATTTTGAGCACAGGGGGGTTTGGATTCAGACAGCCAAACTTTCATGCGGTACACACGGACCCCCTCAACGTCACTTGTACCTTGAGGAGCATTTCTAGCTGTGTGTGGTGGCGGCCCACAGGCACGGCTCCATTCTGAGCCACTCCGACATCTTCTTACATGGCAGGGGTTGGCATGGTGAGCTGAATTTGTCTGTCTTACAGATTGTTTTCCTCTGGGCCCCAAAGCTCCCCACATGTGGAGGGAGGGACAGAGGTAGGGGTCTCACCACACGGGGGAACAGGGTCAGAACATTTCCCCTCATCCTGTGGCATTCCTGGCCTCTGGGTACGATTTGGTTCAAAGAAAGGGCTTTGCTGCTTTAAAAAATGGTATCTAAAAATTGCTATTTTCAGTGCACTATGTCACTATCATGAAAAGGAATTGAAAACAGAAAGATAAAATGACTAACTCATAATAAGCCTCATATAGGTCATAAGTTCATAAATGCAGAACAATGACAACGAAGAATTCAAGAAGCACGTGAAAGCTGGGCTCGTTGACCTTGGCTGGACATCACTGGACCCTAAGCTAACCTGCTGGTGCTCACTTATGAAGGAAAAAGCCCACATTTATATACAGAGTATGTACAGAATCCTGGAAACCTCCATCATCCAAGACTGTGTCTCAATCACCGGGCACAATAGGGGGTTTGTAAACTGTTAGGCACAGACGGCTCCTTTCATGTGCAAGTCTAACATTTGACCTTCTCACTTGACTGCAGCCCCTGTTCTCAGGAATGTGCCAGGCACACGAAGAGTGGAATGTCTACAGAACATCACCCCAGATAGGAAGCTCCTGAGGTCAGGGACTGACCACGGATAGGCACATAACAAACACTTGCCAGTTGACTGATGGTTGCTCACTGGGGTTAGTCAAACTTCTCGATGGACAACTGCCAATGTATCCATCTCAGTTTCCTCCCCACACCCTACCTCTGAAGAGTGCATCCGGGTAGAGCCCTCTGGCTCCCTGCACATCCGCAGGTCCTGTTCCCATGGCAGTGTTTGCCTCTGAACTCCTTCCACTGATATCTCACCTTCAGACATGGATACAAGCCATGTGTCTACCTGAAGCTCCAATCACCAAATGAAGATGCTGTGTATGTTTTTAGCATGGGATATGTGCTCAAATGCCTCTGGGAACAATTTTTAAAAGGATATCCTTCCCAAAGGGCCTCATGGCAACAGGGATCAGGAGCTTTAAAAAGAAATTCCCCTTTTGACCTAGAAATTCCACTTCTAGAATTCCTCCTACGTAAATGACCAAATGGGACTCCTACATAAATGACCAAGTGACTAAATGTGACTACACAAAGATACTCATGGCAACACTTGTTATAACAGTAGATCTGGAAACAACCTCAAAGTTCGAAATAGGAAAATGGTTGGGGAAGACAAGCTAGAAAAGAAAAAGTCATTTTCTATATGTCAAGTATTTATATGTCATTTTATATATTAAAATTTTTGAAGTTTAGAAAGTTTTAAACCAAAACGTTAATAATTTTTTTATTTTCTATTTTTTATTTTTGGTGCTGGGGATTGAACCCAGGGCCTTTTGCATTCAAGGCAAGCACTCTACCAACTGAGCAATATCCCCAGTCTTAGTAATTTTTTGAAAAATTTTTTAGTTGTAGATGGACACAGTAACTTTATTTTGCTTATTTTTTTTCCCTGTGGTGCTGAGGATCGAACCCAGTGCTTCATATGTTTGAGGCAGGCCCTCTACCTCTGAGCCACAACCCTAGCCCATCATGATTGTTTTTTGATGATGGAGTTATCAGTGACTCAGACTTTTTTTTTTTTTAGTTTTATCTTAATTTTTTTTCTAAAATGACAGTGTATTCCTCTCTGTGTATATGCAATATTATTTTAGGCAATACAGGCCAGTCAATTCAACTTTGAAAAGCTGGAGGGTAATTTTAATGAAAATTGCAAAATAAGTTTTGGTAAAAATTCTAAATCACTCTTTAAAAAAACAGAGAATCCTGTTTCTGGGGTCTGGATGTGAACCCTATTAGCCTCTGTTTCTAATTCTTCTGAGGGTTTTCCCATGGGCCCTCCCTGGGAAATTCTCCATCAAGCCAAATGCCACAATTGCACGTGACCTTACCAGATAGGCTCTCCAGAAGGACTGAATGGCAATCGCAGCGTCCACGTCAGTCAGCAGGAGGGACAGTGGGATTGGTGGTCGAGGGCTGAAAAGCAATAAATGGTTGTATGACCGTGAGAATCTGCTCTTGAGCCCCAGCAATGACTTTGACAATATAATGGTCCCTCTGATTAAAAGCCTCACCCATCTCCATTCTTAAAAGACGACAACGTAATTTTTGACAGAAAAGTGTGTGTATGAGTTAGCATTTCTGATTTTCAAATCTGATCTGGGTTTTAAAGCAACATAATCTAAATCACTGTTCATCTTGCATGCTATTTTTGAAGGTGCAGCCTGCATGTTGTTGATATAAAACTATATGAACGCTGGGCACCGTGGTGCACGCCTGTCATCCCAGCAGCTTGGGAGGCTGAGGCAGGAGGATCACAATTCAAAGCCAGCCTCAGCAACAGTGAGGCCCGAAGCAGTTCAGTGAGACCCTGTCTCTAAAAAAAAAAAAAAATAGAAAATAGGGCTGGGGATGTGGCTTAGTGGTTGAGTGCCCCTGAGTTCAATTCTCAGTACAAAAAAAAAAAAAAATCAACTATATGAATAATACAAGAGACAGAGGAAACCCAGCCTTTATATTCTACATCAGAAATAATCAAGGGCTCTTCCTCCAACTTTCTATTGAAGAAAAATTAAATAGTTCTTCTGAAAGGAAAATATTGGAATTTACCTCTGATTAGCATACATTTGAGTTAATGTGGATCAAGTTCAAGCATATCTTTAAGTTCCATATTTACATCTTAATAAGCAATACCATATCTCAAGTGCTGGGTCAGCTGACAGTGTTCTCGTGGGAGTTTTAGATTATGAATAATTTTACCATAGATACCACATGGAAAAATCATGATTATAGGCTTTTTGTTCCTCTGGAAGTTTAACAGAAGTACAGACTGCTGATAAAGTCTTGTAAGTCTGTCTCAATGCTGGTTCATGTTTCCCCAAAGCCAAAGCACAGCTCGCTCTGAAAAGCAAGGAACAAATCTTTTCAGGATACAAAGGAATAAACCCCTGAATGGACGTGGATTTCACGGAGGCTGCTCTGGTACAAGATCCCCAGAAATGACTTTGAAAAAGAAGGATCCCCACTTCCCTGGCCTCAAAGCTCTCCCTGATGACAGCTGGAGCTACCTGGAACTGTCACTGTGCAGAGAGGCTGACCGACCTGCAGGAGGTCACCCAGCTTGCACAGGGGGCCTAATCAGGATCCGGAGCCAGATCCATCCACTCCCAAAGCCAGGGCTTCCCTGGGAGCTGTGTGCCCACCTGACTGCAAAGCTCATTTGCATCAGAACTCGGTTCTCCAGGATCTATCTGGGATCTTACTTCTCTCCTAACATGGACTTAAAAGAGGGAGAGAGAGAGAGAGAGAGAGAGAGAGAGAGAGAGAGAGAGAGAGAGAAAAGAACACCTCGATAAAGTGTATTTGTTTGAATGAGTGAATGCTCTTTTAAATGATTCCAGAATCAAAGAAATCAAAGCCAGGAGGAACACAGGCCGTGGAGACCATTTCAAGGGAGCGCAGGGTTGTTGCTAGATTTGGGTTTTCCAGCTGGACGGGACCAGAGAGACCAGGTAAAGGAGAGCCTTTCCACTTCCTTGTAAGGATAATTGCACCTGAAAGCGAGAGCATTGTGAGGAGCCTTCCCTAATGCTCAGTGGCCATTTTTATTCCCACAATGGGGGATCTTCTTGGGGGGTCCTGTTGGTGTTCACCTCTCGATGCCCACCTCCGGCCTCCTGGACTGAGACGGAGCAGCCTTCCTTGGCTGCAGTCCTGCAGGTGGGGGGCCCACAGCTCTCTGCTTCCCACAGTCAGTGTCACTGTCCTCTGTTCCCTGAAGTAATTTCCCCCACTGGTTAGCGATCGGTGGCCTCTGGAGGGAACCTGGTGTTTCTCAGGAGACCCTGGACCTTGGGTGCTGGCAGTGGATTTACGAGAAAAATGTTCTCATGCCCCAACGGTAACTGGTGCCCCTGGGCTTTCTGGACCCCTCGCCCACCTGCCCTGCTCCATACTCCAGCCATGCCCGCCCTTTCAGCTCTCCAATGGGTCTGCTCCCTCCCACCTCTGACCTTTGCAAAGGTGTTTTCCTCTGTCTCCAAAGTCTCCCTGCCCCAGCCACGGGCACCGGCACAGCTGTGCAGCTGGCTCTCTGCTTGAAGGCACCCAGCAGAAGGGCCAGAGGCTCCACAACCAGCCCATGCTCTGCTCGCGAAGCCCTGCTTCTCAGTGCGGAGCCACACCTGCCCTGAGGTTCGGACACATTTTCTTTATTTGCTTAAATGCATCTCAGGGCTGGTGGGGGCCCTGACACCTCTCTGTCCTAGTTCAGTCTTATTCCTCTTCTGATCTCCATTAAAATGTTATTAAAAATGTCTTTTGATTAGGTCAGAGCCCAATGAAGCTCCTTGTAATTTTCCTTTCTAGTCCTTGGCCCAATTTGGAGAAAAAAAAAATACCCATGTGATTAATTTATGCCCAAATCTTCTACTGAGCTAGAAGCTCTATGAGGACAGAGGCTGGTCCTGTGGTTGCTCCTCTTGATGTCTGGCACGTAGTGGGCACTCAATAAACGCCTGTAGGATGAATGACTGCCTCTGTGTCTGGCACTGTATGAGTGCCTTCTGCATACCTGCAGGTGATTTCACTGAGTTCTCACAACAGGAACAATGGCCACTGTCCTTCATTTGGAGGTGCAACCGAGGCACAGAGGAGCAGAAGCCCCAAGATCACTGAGTATTTCTTGCTAAGAATACAAGCTGTTTAGGAAACCCGGGAGTGGCCCAGGAGAAGGGGCCAGTTCACAAGATCACTAACATGGAGGTCAAGGTCTAAGACAGAAGAAAATACAGCCAACTGGCTAGAAGAAGAAAAAAATGGGTGGGGAGAGGCAGAGYCATAATCATAGGAAATTTCCTTCTCCTTGGCCCTTACAGCAACAGCTTGGCAGATATCTGCTYGTCGGAACCCCCAGAGGGAAGCCCCGCGTCAAGGCATCCAAACACAGTGGAGCTTATCACTTGTGCCCGAGGGGAGTTCTGACGGCGCCTCTCTCTTCAGCTGCAATTTTCCTGCCATGAGGACGTTTTTTACTACTGATGTCATGAAACCTTCAAAGGAACATCCTCCTGTTTAGGGATCGCAGGCGGAAAGCGGCACTGCGCCCCTGAGGACAGAGCGGGTGGAGCGCCCAACCAAGGACTTTCACCAGCCCTGAAACCCCGGAGCGCTGCGCGTCACCACGTCATCCCCAAAAAGCAAACTGGGATTTCTAACGGGCCCCCTCTAGCGACATCCCCGCTTTCAGGGCTAAAGAATGGGGCGCTGTCTAGTTCTCAAACAAGAGTACACACGAGAAACCAGTGTATATCAGGCCAAGTGAAAGGGACTTTATTCTTGGGAGTGTAGTCCCGGGAATTATCAATCATTTCAGCAGGCCAGCTCCGAGGGAGGGAGAGAAACCATGCCAGGCCCTTTTCTCTTTGCTGGAATCGGTGCAACTGGCTCCAGGTCAAATAAAAATAAAGAGGCGCGCGTTCCTCACCAGGGAGCCAGGGAGKGGAGAGGAGATGGGAGTGTCAGTCCTGGAGCAGCCAGCGCAGCCAAGCTCTGCAAGGGCTAAAATCAGACCTCCCCAGGGCACGCATTTTTGCACGTTCAATCAGGACAGTGTTGCTGAGCCATGTTTCCAAGAAAACTTGTTTTACTATTATGCTCCCTCGCCATGTCTTCCTCCTCTGATTTTCAAATGTGAATTAACACATTTGAACCCTAAGAATCGATGCTATAATTCTGAGAAGGAACAGATATTGATTTTTCTGATCATGTAGGTGAATATATTCAAAAATATATAAAAATAAATGTACACACACCCTTTTCCCCTTCTGGGATGCTAAGTAAAAGATTTGCAGGACTTCAAACTGAGCTAGCATGCTTACAAAACGCACAATGACAAGATCTGAGAAGTCAGCCTTACACCCGTTTCTCTATCCAGTTGTAAGATCATTTAGAGAGGCAACATCCAAAACCACATTTAAACAAAGCAAAGGAGAAAGGAGAAAAACTTGCTTGATATTGTAAACTGAATTTCAGAATCCAACTTTTACCCACTTTTCAGTTAGGTATGAGATTGGAGTTGTCTTGGAACATGAAAGCCCTAAAAGTTCCACATGAAAAGTCATTTGCAAAGGTATCACAGGCCCGTATCAGTCATCAGAAAGCCTTGCCATGGCCCAGGACTGGATCACGTTCACCCCAGTGAACTTGGCAAGAGACCTTACACAGTTTCCTACCAACACCTTCGCTGGCTTCCCAACCACTTCCTGCTGGAGGCCTCCTGTGAATTTCACTTGTGAATTCCAACTGTTTGGAAGAAGTACAATAGAGATGTTCTGAACAATGCTTAGGTTGGGATTTCAGGATTCTGTCAGTTCCAGTCTTTTATGACGGGAGAAATAGCTCCAAAAACCAGTGCAGCATTGCTCTCTGGTAGCCTTAAAGCACATTTAGAAATCASGGTTACTGGGATGTGATCTTGCTTTCGCCCCCTCACTAATCTCCACCCTGGGAGATCAACAAGCGGTTATTATCCCAGTACAGGCTGAGTCATTCTCCTGGGAAACAGAGCTGAGTCCCACTTAACCAACCCTATCATTGAGCTGCTGCTACGTGTCCAGATAGCAGAGCTCYGAAACCACCACCTGCAAGACCACGTGCTCACCGGGTCTCAGGTACTGCATGACCATCTAAAAACCAAGGCTGTGACACTTAGTATTTTTTAATAAAATATGCCCCATTGTGATTTAATTTAGCTCCTTTTTAACTGGTTACATGTTTTTTCTAATATGACTTAAGGGAAACTTAAGGAGATCAGCCTCCATCCCAGCCCCTCTCCTCCAGCTCCAAATGGTGAGCCCAAGGCAGGGGATGTGCAGAAGAGTTGACCATGTTCCTCCCAGCCTCTCCAAACCCCTTGTGGGGGACCTTCACCTTTTTTATGCCTTGGACCCCTTTGGCGGACTACATTGCTTCTCAGG